TAAAATGATGACAGAGGTCAGTAATTTGCACCAGAGGTACACTTCAACTGTGAGAGACAGAATGTGAAAAAAAAATCCATGAATCCACATGGTAGGATTTGTAAAGAATTTATTCGTAAATCAGGGTGGAAAATAAGTATTTGGTCACCTCAAACAAGGAAAATCTCTGGCTCTCACAGACCTGTAACGTCTTCTGTAAGAAGCTTTTCTGTCCCCCACTCGTTACCTGTATGAATGGCACCTGTTTGAACTCATCATCTGTATAAAAGACACCTGTCCACAGCCTCAAACAGTCAGACTCCAAACTCCGCCATGGCCAAGACCAAAGAGCTTTCGAAGGACACCAGGAAAAGTATTGTAGACCTGCACCAGACTGGGAAGAGTGAATCTACAATAGGCAAGCAGCTTGGTGTGAAAAAATCAACTGTGGGAGCAATCATCAGAAAATGGAAGACATACAAGACCACTGATAATCTCCCTCGATCTGGGGCTCCACGCAAGATCTCATCCCGTGGGGTCAAAATGATCATGAGAACGGTGAGCAAAGATCCCAGAACCACACGGGGGGACCTGGTGAATGACCTGCAGAGAGCTGGGACCAAAGTAACAAAGGTCACCATCAGTAACACACTACAACGGCAGGGAATCAAATCCCGCAGTGCCAGACGTGTTCCGCTGCTGAAGCCAGTGCATGTCCAGGCCCGTCTGAAGTTTGCCAGAGAGCACATGGATGATACAGCAGAGGATTGGGAGAATGTCATGTGGTCAGATGAAACCAAAGTAGAACTTTTTGGTATAAACTCAACTCGTCGTGTTTGGAGGAAGAAGAATACTGAGTTGCATCCCAAGAACACCATACCTACTGTGAAGCATGGGGGTGGAAACATCATGCTATGGGGCTGTTTTTCTGCCAAGGGGACAGGACGACTGATCCGTGTTAAGGACAGAATGAATGGGGCCATGTATCGTGAGATTTTGAGCCAAAACCTCCTTCCATCAGTGAGAACTTTGAAGATGAAACGAGGCTGGGTCTTCCAACATGACAATGATCCAAAACACACCGCCCGGGCAACAAAGGAGTGGCTCCGTAAGAAGCATTTGAAAGTCCTGGAGTGGCCTAGCCAGTCTCCAGACCTCAACCCCATAGAAAATCTGTGGCGGGAGTTGAAAGTCCGTGTTGCTCGGCGACAGCCCCAAAACATCACTGCTCTCGAGAAGATCTGCATGGAGGAATGGGCCAAAATACCAGCTACTGTGTGTGCAAACCTGGTAAAGACCTATAGTAAACGTTTGACCTCTGTTATTGCCAACAAAGGTTATGTTACAAAGTATTGAGTTGTATTTTTGTTATTGACCAAATACTTATTTTCCACCCTGATTTACGAATAAATTCTTTACAAATCCTACCATGTGGATTCATGGATTTTTTTTCACATTCTGTCTCTCACAGTTGAAGTGTACCTCTGGTGCAAATTACTGACCTCTGTCATCATTTTAAGTGGGGGAACTTGCACAATCGGTGGCTGACTAAATACTTTTTTGCCCCACTGTATGTCCATAAACATTACAAACACACCACAAACAACATGAAAAGAAAGAAATGGATATAAATAGAAAAATGGTATAATAATAATATTTAAGGGCTATGTAACAATGAACCGACAAAGTCAAGACAAAAGCACACTAAGTAAACGCCAGGGAGAAGATAATAAGGTCAAGTGAGCTCACCAATCCTGGAGTAGCTCTTTTTAAATTTTGTGCCTTTATTCCTGTCTTTCCCTCCATGTTTACCTTTTCCCCTTCTCTTCCTTTTTTCCTTCCATCTATCTAGCTGTCGACTGCATGGTCTCAGAGTGGACAGAGTGGTCAGAGTGCAACAAGACCTGTGGTAAAGGACACACCATTCGGACCCGTATGATCAAAGTGGAGCCACAGTTTGGAGGCAGCTATTGTCCTGAGGCCATCCAGAGGAAGAAGTGCAAGCTCCGGAAGTGTCGGCGAAAACCGATTAAGGAGGAAGAGGTGCCAGGTTGGTCGTGGTAGTCTGTTGAAACTGCTTCATGTAGCATTTAGACATTTTAACGAGCCGATGTTTTAGATGGTTAGTTGTTTTATTCCAGCAAAGCAATTTAAGTCAGGACTGAGATACTAGACAAACCCTGATATGTCCATCTGCAGCTGTTTGTTTTTGGTGGCATGGCTCCATGTGGGACCTAGCTAGTTAGACGTGAGTAACCGTATCAACAGATCCATGAGGTTAGATTGGCTCGCGATGACATCGCCTGAGTTTGATTTTGTGACCTGTTTTAACTAAATTTGTTTCCTGATAGAAATATAGAATATGGAAATATACCACATTAACAAATGTGACGCACAGACATTAAGTCTTTAGCATCCATGTCCACAACAGAAGATAGTCGATGCAAAGGGTCGAGCAAGAGTGCAGACAAGCATGAGAATGCACAGAGCAGAGATGTTCAGTGAAGCTACTTTCAGCTGCTCCCTTATTCACAAGAGACTGTTAAAGTAGATAGCTCCACATGTTTTGATTTGGCCGATCATTCTTTTTGCTCTTAAAAAACACGAGATGCCCTTCCTGACGCAACTGAAGGGATTTGTCTCTCCTTCCGAGATCGAAGCCTCTGTATAAGAGAAATAATGAACAAATGTTTAAGTTCATGCAATTTCGGGATATTTTGCTTTTCCTTGTAATTTTTTCTATTAACTAAGAGTCTGTTTTATTCCATCAGGTTGCAGGATGCAGCCGTGGTCTAGCTGGACAGAGTGCACCAAACCGTGCGGGGGAGGGATCCAGGAGCGTTTCAGGGTGGCAAAGAAAAGAACAAAGTCCAAAGGCTGTAAGGACAGGAAGGAGATCCGTGCCTGTAACGCTCGGGAATGCTAGGGGGCACTGCTAAGCTACAGAGAGGCAGGGAGGTGTGCAGTGGATTAAACATGAAAATCAGAATTCATTAAAAACAGTGGTGACAGAGATTGATTTTTTTTTTTTTATGTAGCTGGGAGGAGACGTACAGGATTATTATGGGTTATTATTGGAAAAATCTGAGGATTTAAGTAAGGATTTAAGAAAGGGAAGGAATAAGAAGAATAAGACATAATGACATGCTGTTTTAGTGACGATTTTGTGGACATTTAGTTAGCTGGGTTGATTTATTTTCCTTTTAGAGCATAGTGGAAGTATTAGAGAGAAAGCCTGTGTCCTGCAAAAAAAAAGAAGAAGAAGGAAACCTAACGCTAAAGTAACCTAATACATATTTTGCAACAAACTTTAACTTTTTAGTTGGGTTTTGTTTACTCCTAGTAGGAAAGTATTTTCTGTGTATTTTCACCAATGTCTCCCTGTCCTCTGCAGCACCTACAAAACATTGATTTAGCTACTAAAAAATCAGGAGCTGAGCATTTTAATGAAAGCTGGATACTTTTAATGTACTGTTTATGTAAAGGCTCTACTGGGGAGAATTCAAAATTAGCATTAGCTAAGTGGATTACATGCTCTGTATTGGAAATATGTTAACCTGCTTTGTCCCCATTAAGATGCCTCCTATAACACTACCAGACAACTTTAATCTGACCATTAAATGCCATAATACTGTGATACTACTTTACTTTGATTTAGTGTTTCATCCAGTGCTACTGTAATATTAAGATTTCTTGCACAGGAAAATATTAGTTCAGTGAGAGCTATTATACTCAAAAGAATATTAAGTACATCTGTACTATAAGGTCAGACACATGGTAACAGGAGGAGCAGGGTGGAGAGCACAAAGCAGCTTGTAGTGACAGTGGAGAAGCTGGATGGATGAATGTGTAGAAGGGAATCAGCCGGGATTGTGACCGAGTGTGAAGTTGTGATCTGTCTGGAGTAATGCCATGTTTAATTATTACTCTTAGTTTGTGTGGTAAAAGGATGCAACTTCTACCTGGTTGGCTGAGGGAAAATGAAAACTACATAAAAGACAATGAGAAAACGCACTGAGTGGCTCTGTTCAAAAAGCACAAAATCCATCTTCTAGTGTGTCTAGTTCAATGACGCATCACTCATTATGTAAAATGTTTAGTGCACACCAGTTTCCACTGGGCTCTGTGAAGGGCTATTTTTTGGACATGTGCAGTCACTGTAAGGGTGACAGTGAAACAGCAATTGCATTGCAGAGCCAGGATAAGTCTTCCCCTTGCTTTCAGACTTCAGGCTAAACAAACTAAGTTGGTTCTCACAAATATCAGAGGATGAGTTTATACATCCAACACAATTGGATCAGTGTAAAAGAAGCCTGTTTCTCAAAATGTTAATGTGCTACTCCAGTGTTATTGTTGTATGAAATAAACTTAACGTCAGATAATGGAAACAGAAACATTTTTAGGATGTATTACCCACTGCTTTAAAAATGAGCTTCGGTTCTAGTGAGAAAAAAATCCCACGGATTGAATAATTGACTGCAAACTAACTGTGAAAATCTTCTTCTTCTTTTTTTTTGCAAGACATAGATGGTAACACAGAAGTCTCTAAAAATCTGAGGATATACGTACATTCACTATCTAACCAACACATATAAATGACACTGCTATGTAATTACTAAAAACCACTTTCCTTATGAACAGACCATTTCAGTGGAGATGTTTTATACTGTTAAAATGAGTCTTTATATACTGTACTGCTGTTTATCTGTCATTTCAGCTGATGTAGCATCAAGCCTGCGATAGCTCTCATTCTGTCAGAAGAGTTTATTTTAGCATGTTCAGAGATGATTATGTTTTATTTGGACATCACGCTTTATCAGCTGTAGTTGCGGTCGTAAAACACTAGCGAAATGACTGTATCTGCTTTGTTCAGACGGAGCCTTAGAAGTGTCTTAGACATCTTACACATCTGCTGGCTGTAAAAGGCATATGTACTGTAGAGGATATAGAAGTTTCTACAGTATTCAAACCTGTAGGATAGATCAATGTACAGCAGACTGTTACTGGGACCTTGGTTACAACACATTTTTCCCATGTATTGTTTTTACTGCGCTTTGTGAAGATAAAATCGATCTGTAAAATCTTTTGGGGATTTTTTTTTTTTTTTTTTTTTTTGCATTACTTAGCAGATTTTGTTGCATTTTTTTTATAAGAATGTCAACACAAAGGTGTGTTTTCTGAAGATGTTTTCTCTGAAGTCACTTTCTTTTATTTACAGGGCTCTTTCTTTTGTTTCTTTATGTCTGTACCATGTGACTCTTTTGTAAGAAACCACCTTTACAATAAAAAAAATGGTAAATGTGAGAGTCATGGTGTCATTGCACCAATGAAGCTCTTCCTTCAGCATGTTGTGTAAGAACCAACAATGACAGCAAGGTGACAAGTGAAGAAGCAATATTGTCCTTCAAATAAAAAAAGAAACAGATACAACTTTATAATAACCACCGCTAATAAATAGTTCCTTTAACTTTTTTTTTTTTTTTTTTTTTTTTGGCCTGTCCCGTTTGGCTCTTTTGCCATCAGAATTGTTGTCTAAAGGCAAAGAAAGATACCCAACGGATTTTACTTTACCAAACTGACCATCCCAGCCTTGCCGTAATGGTCCATTTGATTCACCTTTTATTGTTTATTTTATTTTCACTTACTGAATACGGGACAGACTTGACTGGGGGAAAGAAGGGGAGAAAGAAAGAGGGAAAGAGAAACAGCTGAGAAGAGGGACGGGGGAGAAGGGCAAAAGACAAAAACCAACAGAACGGGCAGAGAAAAAAAAATGCATATATCAATCACCTGGATCACCTGCTGAGAAAGAAAAAAGAAAGCAAGCAGAAGAGAACAAGAGTAATAGAATAAACAACATCACAATGATATATGGGAATATGACAGTAAATACTAAATATTAAACATTATTGTGCAGCACATAAGATCAACAGAACACAGTGTGCTTTGAGGTAGGAGCCAAAAAGGGTGTAGTTTGTGGGTGTGATCACCCGTGTGTACACCTGTGGGCATGGACGCGCTTGTTTTTTGTTTTGTTTTTTTAAAAGGTTCCTTCATGTAATAATCTGCTAGAGGGTGTGGGGGGGCCACAGCCCCGTCCTCCAGGGCGTGAGGCAGGTGTGGAGGAGATCAAAACTCCAGACATCCAGAGGCCCCCAGAACACAAGAGTTCCTTGATAACTAATATTAGGTCTTGTATAAAGTGCTAAGTGATGACTACAATACTACAAAATTGATCTAACTTAAACTATATTTGCTGTATTTAAATGCCTTAAGGATGAGAACAAACTTGCTGATCAGTAGTGAAACATTGCAAAACTCCAATTTATTATTCTTTTAATTCATGATAAGAAAATGACATATTTTAACAATACTACTGGTAAGTGGATATTAGTTATCATACCACTGTTTAATGTTAAATAATGTTAAAAGTTATATAAATAAATAGCAATAATAACAGTAGTTATTGCATCCATGAGGCATAACATTATGACCATCTGCCTAATATTGTGCTAATTCCTCTTTTGCTGCCAAAACATTTCCAGCCTGTGGAGCCCTGGACTTCTTTAGACCCCTGAAGGTGTGCTGTGGTATCTGGCACCAAGATATTTCCAACAAAGTTGTGGAAATTCTGGGGCCATTATGAATCTGACTTGTTTTTTCCAGCACATCCCATAGATGCTCAATTGGACTGACTGGCCTGGAGAATATGTTGTCAACACCTCAAACTTGTAGTTCTCCTCCTCCTGATACACTTTTGCTTTGTGGCAAGGCGCATTATAATGCTGAAAGAGGCCACAGCCATCAACGAATACCTTCTCCATGAAAGGATGTACATGGTGCGCAAAAATCCTTTGATTATACGTGGTGGTATGTGCCAAAGTAACATCCACATGGATGGCAGGACCCAGTGTTTCCCAGCAAAACACTGCCCGGAGTCCTGGTGCCTGGTCATCACAGTTTGGTCCTTGTCAAACTTGCTTAAATCACTGAATTGTGTCCATTTTTCCCACTTTTCACTTGCTCCCTAACATATCCGCCGGACTAACAGTTCTGACTACCAGATGAACAGATGACCAGTGTTACTCACTTCACCTTTCAGTGATCATAATGTAATCTGGAGTCAGATGCGAGGTCCATCAGCCATGGCTGAAACTGTGTGATGCGAAAGGACAACGATCCTAAGCACAGCAGCAACTCTGGACTTGTGCTGTGGTGGGTCCTCAAGATAAAGGTGCATAAATGGATCCTCACAAACCTCAATGAACTGACGCAATGTTGTAAAGAAGACTGGGCCTGAATTCCTCCACAACAATGTGAGCGTTTGATAGTCGTACAGAAAACAATTAAGTTATTGCTACTAAAAATGGTTCTAAAAGGTTGAAAATCATTGATTTCAAACACTGTATCTAAATTTTTGGTTCAGTTTTTTTTAAATAAATAACACGACTGTGTAATATGTCATGTTGTTGCTCAAAAACGTTGTATTTGCCTAATTTTAGCACCGTTTTAAGATGATTTGTTTTCGGGGTGTATTTGCTTTTTAATATGACCGTATGCATGGATTGAAAAATATGACACAAAGAGGAGTCCAGGTTCAGTGAGAATATGTATCTTCATTTATTTATTATTTATTCTTACCATAAATAATAGTCTTTTTCATAGTAATCAAGATTTCTGGTTCTTTCCTCACCCCAAAGTTTGTAATTAGTACAGGAATGAGTGCTGAGTAGCTCATAGTTCTAATATAATTACATTTTTGGGTGGTAGTATATCAGCTACACTCATAGATGATATAATAGCCAAACTGATTTAAACAAGTCATTTTGGCTTGTAGTTGACTGTTATAACTGCACAGAGTTTGGGGCCCTAGTCTAGTCCAGCCAGGCTTATTTGATGAGAGGATACAAGTAATCCAGCAGATGAACTTCAGTGACAGGGTAATTATTCTGCAGTCGGTTTTGTGGTATTTAGAGTTCTTGTGTCTGATGTACTTGCAATTTAATTCCACTAGATGGAGATACAGGCATGAGGACGGCAGTTCTTCTGTAGGAGTGGACTAAAAATGTAGTCCGACTTATTCAGTGTCTGTTAACATTGTTGGCTTATAGTCAGATTAACAGCTTCATAATGGCTATAACCCTACTCTGCATCTGCTGTCTATCATCTATTGAAATGCTTATACCTGACATTAAAAACATGGCCAAAATAAAAGCTGAGGTAGAGCAGTCTGCGTCATTTGTTTTTAAGTTCCAACACATGAAATTATACATTTCCCATAATGGCTCCTTTTGCTGCACCTGCATTGAAAACCAGTTTCTATAAAACGCCACACTTTCACAATGATAGCAGGCAAACCTGACATGTCCTACAATGACATTACTATGACTTCAGAGGAGTTGGTTTTCTCTGTCTAATAAGAAGACCACAGTCATACAATCTGTTATTTCTAATATTCCAGAAAAATGTGTAAAAATTATTATTATTATTAATTAAGATAAAAGGCACAAAAAACTACATATTTACACTGACTTAACTTAAAAATATAATAACCTCATAAAACCTGAAGCCTCATAACTTGCAACTCTGAACTTTGACTGCTTGTTTAACAAACCTGTGCAATCCAATGAGACTTTAAGTTTCATCAAGTCAGCCCACATATCATATTCTTATGAATAAGAGATGCTAGAGAAAGTACAATATAGCTTTTTATGCACCAAAGATCAATATTGAATGATGTTTTGAAGCTGCTGGGTTTCAGCTCAAACAGTGAGAGCAACAATTAGACATGCTTTCAGCTCCGAACAGAGCACAAGCACTTTATGACAGTTCCCATGACAATGACTGCAGTCACTTTCCTTTAAAACCTTGGACCCTGAAAAGTTCATCTGAGGATAGGTGTCCTGATGCAGTGATAACATTGCTACAATATTTAATAATTTAACTCCCAAAACTCATGTTGTTATTTTGAATTCTTAGCAACAAGCAGAGGGGCATTGGCTGGGCAAGGGTAAATATATGAAATGATGCCTCCTGTACAATTCTTGAGAAAATCTGGTGTCCTGCACATAGGTGCAATATATATAATCAAAAAGGCTTACAGTAGATGCTGTCTGCCTGCACTATCACTTATTTGTTCACTCAGGCTTGTGTGTTTGCCTTTTTTCCTTCATTAGACATAGAGGCTCTAATGAAGCCTCATAATAAATACATACATTCACCAGCCACTTAGATACACAGGTTCACTGCAATTTCCTGCAAATATCTAATCAGCTAATCAAATGGTAGAAACTCATTCCATTTAATCATGTAGACATGATCAAGACAGTCTGCTGAAGTTCAAACCGAACATCAGAATGGGGAAGAAAGGTGATTTAATTAACTTTCGTGCCAGAAGGCTTGTTCTGGGTATTTCAAAAACTGCTGATCTACTAGGATTTTCCCACACCAGCATCTCTGGAGTTTAGAGAGAAGGATCGGAAAAGGGAAAAGATCCGGTGATGTCAGAGGTTAGAAGGCAATGCCAGACTGCTTCAAGCTGGTAGGAAAGCAATAATAACTCAAATTTGTTAGAATAAAGGAATGCGAATAAGCATCTCTAAATACACAACATGTCAAATATTCTCAAAACTATGGCAGTTCTGTTCTTCTGTCTCCAATACAGCTGTTTTGCTCTCCTCTGTAATGACTAATCTGTGGATGCCGTGATAGACTTGATTTCTGCTGCAACATTTGGAAAGTAGAGATCGAAGCTGTTGTATGCATGAAACATGAAAACATACAGTACTGTGCAAAGGTTTTAGGCAGGTGGAAAGCGAATATTTTCAAAATGGAAGCGTTAATCATTCATTTTCATTATTAGCAAAATGCAGTGAATGAACAAAAGAGAAATCTAAACCGAATCAATATTTGGTGTGACCACCCTTTGCCTTCAAAACAGCATCAATTCTTCTACTTCACACAGTTTTTGAAGGAACTCGGCCGGTAGGTTGTTCCAAACGTCTTGGAGAACTAAACACAGATCTTTTGTGGATGTAGGCTTCCTCACATTCTTCTGTCTTTTCATGTAATCCCAGACACACTCGATGATGTTGGCATCAGGGCTCTGTGGAGGTCATACCATCACTTCCAGTACTTTTTTACGCTGAAGATAGTTCTTAGTGACTTTGGCTGTATGTTTGGGCTCGTTGTCCTACTGCAGATTACATTTGGGGCCAATAAACAATCAGTTATATTTCTGAAAGCATTCTTTGTTTACAGCATTTTTTCACACCTGCCTAAAACCTTTGCATAGTGCTGTAGCT